ACAAAAGCATGCATGCACCACACATAGAAAAATAAATTTAAAAGGCACAACAAGTTAGATGATCAATCTGACCTTCATTTATAAATTGGAATCATATTTGCATATCACTTTATGTATTACTTTTTTAATAGAATTGGAGCTTACCAACACAATGGGGTCCACCTCTATTAGAGAGGTGTATACAATATGGTATGATTAGCGTTTTTAAAATTAGATAGTCATGTATGCAACATTTTCAACGTGAAAAGAAAATAATAGAAAACTTTAGCAACAAGAAATTTTTGGTTGTGCCAAATTAGTTTTTTATTCTTAGTCAACCGGAATATAACATCAGGAATCTAAATTCTAAAAACTGAAGGGCATAGAAATACTGAATACAAAAAGAAATAAGTTAAAAAAGCATATGAGAAAATAGATTATTGGATGAATTTTATTATTCCTTTTCCCCCCGGTTGTACAAAAGGATTGGGAGATTGATTAAATCATATAAATCAACACAATGATGGAACATTCCCACAAAAACCACTTCTCTAAGTAGAGATTAAGAAGTGATACTAATGGCCATTTCCATGGACATTCGGATCAACGGAAGCATGCCCAGCTGCTTCAGCTCCAGGGAAGTAGTCCGAGAGAATTCGGCTGGATTCTCAGCTGAGGAGATGAAGAAGTCTTGACTGGAAGCTCCTTCTTTCTCTTGAGTAATCTGTTCTGAACTTCCCCAAGAGCTCACTTTAACCTATACAACTCTTTCAAACTAAGCGTATATCAATTGGTCACTTGATCAATTATTAGGCCCTCGGTTCTCCATCTTTATCTACTTGAATCTGTCCTCTCATTTCTTCTCGACCTCCCAAGTGCTTATGCAGATCACAGCTATAAGAAAGTTCTTCACATATTATCTTGTTCACACAAACCATCCTCCATTGTTCTGCACGGGCAAATACAGATAAAACCTAATAAGTAGAGAGGACGTCAGAAATAAATATTTAGATAGTATTCAGAGAGGTTAATATGGTTGCGGATCAGTTGGCAAAAACAGGACACAACTATAACAATTCGTGTGTTTGGTTTAGTCATTTCCCTTTGGATGTCCTTGCTAGAGTTTATTTTGATTTGAATGGTCTTAGGATCCCCACGGGATCTAACTTCTAATGTATTTCAGTTCTCAACAAAAAAAAAAAACAAAAAATATATATATATAGATACTATCATTAGTAGACAATCTCAACAGTGCTCAATATAAAGTACTGTGTTTTTGTTATGATAGACAGGAAGGACGAACCTAGGTCGAAAGGAGACGAGGGGAGAGACACAAGCAGATCAGAATGAAGATCCAAGGGATTAGGAGATTGGACACATAGCTTGAAGGAGCTGTACAAACTACAAGGGGCCCTTGGGAAAGTTGAGAACAAATTACTCAAGCCAAAGAAGGAGCTTCCAGCCAAAGTATTCTCCATCCTCAGCTGAAAACTCAGCCCAATTGTCTCTCCTCCCTGGAACTGACCCAACTGGGGTACTTCTTCTATTGATCCCTAATGGTCATTGGACAAATTAAGTGAGCTGATGACTTTACAGCTTCCAAAATGTTCTCTTTTGATATATACAATTGAATGTAACATACGGTACAACATCAACAAATGAACAAGAATATATATATGTTGTATAAATTGAAGAAATAATAAAGAGAAACATAAGAGATTTTTACCAGAACTCAGAACTGAATGGTTGGGACAGTGGCTCTGGAATCTGTAATGCACTCCATGTAGGGAGTTACCATCTCGTGCACTGGGCACGAAATGAAGAGATGCAATAGATGGTGGAGTGGTCACCTGGTTTTATAGCAGTAGGGAGACCAAAAATGGAAACATGTTTGCCAAAAATGCAAAATGTGAAAACTAGGGCTCTCACTCCTGAGGCCCAAGAGGATAAACGATAAGAAATAGTATTTTTTTGTTTCATTTTACAATTATTAAAGAAAAGTGGTATTTCGAGGGGAGAGGGTAAACATTTACATGTCTTATGTTTGATTTCTCCCTTCAACGATATCGTTTGTATATCTTTTTTTCTTTAATAAAGAGAAGCATTAACAACTAAAACTTAATAATGAACAACGCATGTGAGATATAGATCGATAAAGGCGCCGTCAAGTAGAAAAAAGGAAAATTCAAAGAAATGTCGAATCTCCTAACTCGATCGAAATAAATTCTATTAAATTAGCTTACCGATGACAAATCACAACTTAGCATGCTATCACAAATTAGTTTAGGTATGGTATATAGCATCTCCAACCTGTAATAATGTCAACCAAATGTTTGTTGCGTATCCCTAATGCAAGAAAATATTTTTCAATGGTGGATGAACCAAAGTCTAAAGTCTTTTTAATGACACAAGGACTAAATAGCTTGACGTAGTATTCAATTTGAATTTGCTTGTAGCCAGGTTGAACAAACTACGGAGCCTTTCTTTGAAAATCAAACATTTTGCCGTACTACAACAAATGTGAGGCTAAAAAGAAGCAAAAATATAATTTTCAATATAAATTTTAAAAAAAAAAATAATTTATTGTAGACGCAACATAGTTTCATGAGTGCATATTGTAGATGTTTTTGGATTCCATATTACAAATTCTTGGTATAGTCTCGGATTTCAAAAACACTGTAATTGGAAATAATTGAATTCTATAACAAGGCTAATCATTTACAAATGGATTTTTCCATAATTAAGGTTGTGCATGCATCCAAAAATAATCAGATCTAACGACCTAGATATGCTCTGTATATTCTTGGTGTAATCATATCCAAAAACATTTTTTTTTGAAATATTCAAATTAAATATATGGTATAGATGTATTTGGATTTTTTTTTGCATAAATAGCATTGTAAAATTTCCTTATCTCTCAACTTACCTTTTAAACATTTACCCAGAAACTTACCCTTCCAAGTCTAAATTCTATATTGGGCACACCAACCCCTTTACCAACTTCTGTTGTTATTAACGGAAGAGGAAAATGGCATGGCAGTCCATATCGTGTGCCACATCATTAGGTAGATCAATTTTCACTCTCCATGTCATCTATTGAACTCAACTCTACATTACGTGCAGAGCGGTCCATTGATTTTGGAGGCCCTGTGCAAATATGGATGTCGAGACCCTATATAAATAGGAAAAAAAAATCATATAGAAACAAAAATTTCTGACACGGGAAGAACACATTCGGAAAGAGCTTCCCAAAAAAATTTCTTTAGTCACCCTTCCAAATCACAGAACTGATAAATTGATTTTCCAATTTCAATGCTCCGTGAATTCTCATGTGAATAAGGGAGGGAGAAAAAAACTGTGATTTTGGGGAAAGGGCTAAAGCTTGGGTTTTTACAATCCAAAATTTGATGGAAGAGGGTGGTATACTAGTACTAAAGAGAAATGACTTTATTTTGATGGAGGAGAGTGAGAAAGACTTACTAAAAGAGAAAACAATATTAGAATGGTTTTGCAGCTTGAGAGTTGGGAAGAGAAAAACACAGGTTTCAAACCATAATAAATAAATAAAAAGAAGAATTGCAACATGAGAGTTGGGAAGAGAAAAATGAATTAAATTAGAGTCTCTACTCTCTAAGTCGTAGAATTTGTTGATAATTAATATTCAATTCAATTTTGGTTTTGGTGTCTTGCATATGGTGTTGTGGGGTGATATTTAATATTTCATTTTTATTTTCATGTTTTAGTTAATTTAATGGGTTGACATGGAAAAATTTGGAGGCCCCTAAATTTTGAGGGCCCTGTGCGGTCGCACACCTCGCACACCCCATGGACCGCCTCTGACCACGTGAACACCTTCCACCACCACATGTCCCTATTGTCTCCTTGTATTCTACAATAAAATGGAGAAAATAACATATAGGAGATTAACAGCTACCTCTTTGAGATTAGAGATTAGCCAAGAAGTCTGTCTATTCCCAAATGGTGTTGAGTGCCATGGCTATCAACCAAGCAGACTACGAAGATGTCCCTCTTGTTGGGTACAAAGGCCGCCATCATCTTTGATCGCGCGCAGGTTATAGTTGATGGTCTTCCAATTTCACCAAAGCTGATGTTTATTAGTTTACGTTTACTTGGTTTGTGTTTCTGTTAAGGGTGGGTACAGTCCGATTCTCACTCCGAACACGAATCAGCACTATTCATCCAGTTTGATTTTAACGAAAAATATATATGGTTCGGTGCAGTCCGGTTTGCTCATAAGCCAGTTCAGTTTTTATTTTTTGGAAGAAATTTTGATTTTGATTTTGATTTTTTTGGGTACAAAACCCAACTTAAATTTTATTTTTTGGCTGAAAAATTCACAAATTACTCAATTTTATGCAAAGGGAGATGATTGAGCCTAAAAAAAGTGGTGATTTGGAGTTGGGCTTAGAGAAAGATTAGTTATGGACTTAGAAATTTAGCATTGGGGTTAAATATTTTATTAAAAACTTAAAAAAATACATAACCAGTCCGGTTCTACATAGTATGGTTCTTTCACTATAAGAATCGTACCCGAAATCGAACCAAATTGGTCAACCCTATTTTTTCCCCTTTTTTATGTCCAATTTCGCTCAGTTCTCCTATTTGAATGCCCACCTCTAGTTTATGTACTATTTCTCTTCTTTGATTTGCAGTCCAAAATATGGCTGGAAGAATACGTTTGGTCGAATGGAATGCAACTTCTTTTGAAAAATTATCATCAAATTTACTCTTTAATTAAAAATAAATAAAATAAGATAATAGGACACCGTATTAGGTTTAACTGATGAACGGTGGAGATGACTCTTGAATATATAAACATATAAATTTTAACTAAATAAAACAAATATGATTGGGTGTATGACATGGATTGCTGTCATTTGGAACATCAGTTGATTTACTTAGCAAAAGAGTTGTTGCATGTAGCGCTACTGATATTAACAAATGTATAACGTATATAAAATGTTATATGAATATTTTGAATCTTTAAAAACAAGTATGTGTCATATCAAGATTTGAATTTGAACTACGACTTAAAGCATAGTAAGTGCATTAATCATTGAATAATTAAATTTTAATCCTAACTCAATAGGATAAATGTAATGAAAATGATCATTTATACTTGATGTATGGTCTAAGTAATTGTAATTTGAATCCGATAATTCAATCGGACTCGAATATGATATAGACTATAGGTGAATATAATATGATGATGGATCTACTAGCGAGTTATCGCTTAAGCACTCGTCCTCAAGACCAAGACAGCCAACAATATCTTCCCTTGTCCAACCCCCACGCAACAACACCATAGACAGAAACCTCACGCGCCACCCCACACTTGTCTCATCCTCGCTGTCCCCCATCACGTGGGGCCCGCACTTCTCAATCTTCCCATCACAGCCGTCCATCATCATCATCTCCCTAACCTCCTCCTCCGCCCAACCGCCCTCCCTCAACCTCCAAAACACCTCCTCCAAACACCCACCCAAGCACTCATCCCCACTCCACCACCCACGCGTCTCCCCACGCGCCACCACCTCGCTCCAAAAATCAATCCACCGAGTCGTCTTGGGGGCCCACAAGGGCACGTGTGCGAACCCAAACTCTTGACAAAAAAACCGGGTGACGTCACAGCTCAGAACAGTAACGTTCTCCGCGTCAACGTACAAAACCGGATTTCCCGCCACGCCCGGCCTCGACGGAACATAGCAGTTCCGGTGCACCGGCACGAGAACCGGCGCTTTCTCCAGCAGCTGCTTGGCCACGTCAGCATGATCGTGATCGCCTGGAGGGGGCTTGGGGCCCCACGACTGGCACCAGAAGCTTCCGCCAGAGACTCGGCGAAGGAGGCTGAAGGACGGGAGGCTGAGGAGGATGCGGAGCTGCTGGAGGGAGGAGGAACGCCAGTTGGGGAAGGTGGGGCCCACGGGGAGGCCTTCCTGGAGAATGGCGCGGAGGTCAGGCGGGAAGGCGAAGTCGAAGGTGGCTTCGATGGAGGCGAGCTCTGGGTCGGTGAGGCCTTGCTCGACTGGGATGTTGAGAGGTGAAGATTTGAGGTGGTTTATGAGGGACTTGGCGTAGGCGGCGAAGGAGAAGCAGACGAGGGGCTTTTTGGTAGTTGTGGTCGCTGTGGAGTTGGGTTTTGGGGGCTTGCTGTGGGTGTGGTTGTTGTTTGTTGTTGGTGCCATTAAATTGAGATAATATTTTGATGGCAGTGACGAAGATCTGAGATGGGTTTTTTTATTATTATTATTTTGATTTTAGTTTAATTTGACCTGGTTTGGTGGTCCAGGTTGGGAAGAAGAAGAAGAAGGTGGGAAAGATGCATTTGTGATGACCAACTGTTTGACGAAAGAGGCAGAGGAGGAGGAAGGAAGCGAATAAAATCCGTGTGAGAAAAGGCGAAGAACATAACAAGTGAAAATGAGAGAGTTTTTGTCATAAAAAAAAGAAAAGAGAGAGAGAGTTTTGACAGTTCTTGGCAGAATATATATCAGAATCAGGACTCACGTGTTAGTTTCGTCGACATTCTTTATGTAATGCAAAATCATTTCTTCGGTGTGTGCATACAGAATAACTTGAGCGACTATCGGTAGCACACCTCGTTCGAATTATAATTTTCATGACTACAGAATTTAATCTAATCAACGTAAATCTAATTAATCTATCAAAATTAATCCAATTCAAATAGCTTTGTTATTTACTTTTGTAGAGTGAATTGCATCTCCAATTTGTTACTTTTCCTGCTTCTTTGGTTCCCTAGATAAAACTATAAAGTTAGTAAGCAATCTAAGGGTAGATTTTGATGGAATGGTTTGGATGTTGACAACAAGGCTATATTAGTTAAGGAAATAAATCATCAAGCACTGAATACAATGTATTTAAATTGAATTTGAGATAACCACATGCAATGTAACATTTTGAATCAGTTAAAATGAGTAAATACAATGGACCATTTGAAATCCACTTGTTTTACTTTTAAATGTAACAAAAGTTAAATACGAGTTGGTCCTCCCGCTAGATTGGTTGTTCCTCACCCTAGAACGAGATGTGAATGTTTTCTCTGACGATGAACGAATACTACTCCCTCGTTGTTTTGCAAAAAGATCTTACTAGTGTAGTGATAAGGAGCTTTGTTTCCACTCAACTGGTCCTGAGTTCGAGGGCTAGCATTCTAGCTATTGGCAACAATAAAAAATCTTGAAATCAATTATTTTATGAAGAAAAAAAATCACATCCTTTTCACGAAAGCAAAATACATAAGGTCTTTGGTATAACGTGAAAAATTCTCCTTTTGACTTGAGTGTTGAACTCATTTTCAAACTGCGGCCAGATTTTATGCTAAATATAGTGCCACGGATAGTTGGTCTAACGTTTTATATTCGTTTTGAATACCATCTAGAATGCTGGACCTTAACACGTAGATACGACGTATTTGCATTTGTTGTATCATACGGCAATATCAACTTTCTCTTATTCTATGTATAATGTGCACACATCAAAAGAATACTCCTGTATCAATATATGCAAAACAAAGGCTTATCAGCCATGACGTGCACTGTGCACAATCCACAGTTTCTTTAAAACCCAGCGTCGGGCCAAAGTCATGTTTGTCTCTCCCTCTGCTTTAACCAAGCAAATCTTGTCAGGGACAATAATGCATGTTCTAATTCATTCTTTATCACATATAATTCATGTATGATGTATATATTGCATTTCTGTAATAAAGAATAGCCTGTAATAGAGAATTGATGAAGAAAGACAACAGGGAGTTTCATAACAGAACTGAATGCCTGAATTAGATAGAGCTCCACATATACTTTGACAGACTTCAATCTCTAGTTTTATAGATTTTCCATGATTAAATCATCCTGCTCCCCTAGCTACAAAATTTGGGCTAACATTTCTCTGCTTAGAAAGCAAGCCCTGTTGAGCAGAATTTTTCATCATCGTCCACTACATCAAAAGTCAATCATAACAAAGTCTTGATGCAGACAAGTGAAAGTAAATTCTATGACCAGTTAGGGCTAGTTCCTTCTCTACTACCATCCATGTTGTGGGCACTCTCATCTTTTTTTCGAGCAATTTCTTCTCCTCCTGAGCTGGAATCATCTCCCATATTTTCATCATTGTCGTCCTTTCCTGATCCTAATACAGCATCTTCCAGCTTTTCAGAAGCATCCTCTTCACTTACGAAGCTCCATCCAGGAATGATCTTTCCTCCTCTTCTGATAACACTACCACTGTTGTAGAAACCCTGGGAGCCTATATTTACCTCATTTCTATCAGGTTCGGAGGAAATGCTAGAAGGCCACCCAATACTTGCAGTACCAATGGCACCCATATGAAGGGCCAAATTGGTTTTGGTGCTTGTCCCATTAGTTTGCTGAGAAGTGATGGAGTTGTTAGTTCTTAAGTAGTTACCCTTGTCATCATTACCTTTCATTTCTGAAGAGGCAGTATGCCCAATTCCATACATTTGGACATTGGGAAGGTCCTGCTGACATTGATAGTGGAATTCAGGCATGACTGAATTGCTTCCGTTAACCTCCAAGCTGCCACCAGAATGTGCGACAACATTTGAGATATTGTTTCCCTGCTCTGCAGCAGCTGTGGAGTGATATGCTTTCTCTTTATTTTCTACCTTGTTGAGGATAACCTTCTCAAAAACATGTGGTTTCATCTCAAACTGATGAATCTTGCATGCTGCAGGTCTTCTACCTCGAGTTCGGCGATGAGACTCGCCAGGAGAAGGTAATGCGTCAACTGAAGCAACTGACCTCTTTGGTCTTCCTCTTTTTGATGGTTGTCCAGATAAAACAGCCCCACTAACTTGAGCAGTGGGCTCTTCCGCTGCCGGTTTCAGAGAAGGCACTTCTGCTGCCAGTTTCAGAGAAGACACTTCTGCTTCAAGCCTCACCAAGCTATTTTTGTAATCCATTATTTCTGATTGCAAGTGATTAATTACATTCCATAGCTGGACATTTTCTGCAGACTATAACCTCAAAACCAGAAAAAACTCGGTTTATAATCATATTGACTAAATCACAAACTTATATTAAACAGGTTTAAGGAAAAAAGAAAAAGATTTGTACTTGAGCATCCCAAAGTTGCTGGTGCTTCTGAGAAAGTTTAGTTGGTGGCCTGATAATTCCTTTTTGAAAGGATTGTCCAAGGGGTGTGGTGCAACTAGGCGGTAATGCAGGTGGTGAAGTAAAGTAGCCTCCTGGAAAAGCATATGTGCATAGAGGCTGTTGTGCCTGACCCTGACCCTGACCCTGACCCCACCAAGATGGATCACAAGGACCTGTGAACAGGAAAGCTCAACCGTTATAGGACTCAAATTTTAAGTTGTGGTTTGATATCTTTAAATATCAAACTGTTAAGTGTGTAAGCAAACTGGAATTATGCATTAAAAAATTTTTGTCATGTGTATTGCATAGTTACTAAAGCTGTCACCACCTTCAACTACTAGTCAAGAATGGCTTGATTATTTATCCAATACCACATTGAAGATTATTATGTTTTAGATCAATCAGTTAAGCAAGATAAGATCATAACGTCCAAAAGAAGTATGTTACAATGCATAACACAGAATAACAAAAGTTTTGCGTATACCTGGAAAGCCCGGATATGGGTACCCAACAGGGTAACAGAAATTAGGAACTTGAGCTTGATTTGTTGTTGAAGTTCCACCTCCAACAGCTGCAGGAGTTTGCCAATTAGTATCAGTAGCTCCGAAAGCAATGAATGACGGAAAAGTTGCCGGTGCATTCAATCCAGGCAACGTGTAACCAGCTCGCTGGGGTAGCCATAAGGGAGCAGCTGATTGGGAATAATTGCTTGGTGGCAGGCCTTGTGGGACCTGATGATTAGAGGCATTCTGTTGTAGATGTGGAAATTGTGGCCATTGGTTTATAACTCCAGGCAACGGCGCTTGAGTTGCAATAAAGGGTCTAGGCACGAAAGGGGATTGTTCCACTCCATGCTGAGGCGTGTACGGCCATTGAAGAGTTGATGGGTATTGGTGATTTAGGGACGGTGCATTGCCGTTTGAAGGACCATCAGTTTTTGTACTCTCTGTAAAAAGTGTCACATTGGGCTGGCTTTGGTCCTCCTTGCTCTGTTCATAAACAGATTCACCATGTTAAGTTGTAGAAAATGAATTTCTATTTCTGATAGTGTAATTCTTGTTCTTCTAAGTTTATAGTCTTGGTATCTCAAAGCATAACATCATAGAGCACATTTGATCATCCAAAAAGTGAAGGAAATAGCTCAAATCTCTCAAGAACTCTTAGACAATGGAAGCTACTAAACAATGTCAATTACAAATTAACAAAAAACAAAAACAGAAAAAAAAAAGCTGCTCCACATAAATAATTCTATATGGGTTACTCTCATTTGCAGTAGATAACCTAAACCCTAAACCCAGACAGAAGACAACAATTTTCGGTGTTATTCTTACTTAGGGAAAATGAACTCTACAAAGTTAGAGAGTGAAAAGAAAGAGTTGGCAGTATAAAGAGTTTGGATTGAACCCAAAATAGAAAGGGTTTTGACAAAAGCTAGGACTGAAAAATGAGAATGATGAAGAGGGTTTCATACCAAAATGTCATTTGCCTCTGGTTGTTGACCGGTGGCGCAAGCAACTCTGTGGTCCTTCTTCTCCATGGCCTTCAAAGAAACAGTCTTTGTTTATTTGTTTTTACATTTAAAGGACACTCTGTGTCTTTGAGATTCTCAGAAGTCAGAAACTTCCCTACAGCAGCTAAAATATATGCAAGAAAGGCAAATAAAAAGTGCCCGAATGTCTTCAACCCCTAGAGAGAGAATATTGTGTGGAGGAATTTTTCACAGCCTTTTTCTGCTTCCTGTTCTGGTTCCAGTCTCCAGACTTGTCCTATTGTATATTGGACCAATTTCAATTTTTATTTTTATTTTTCTGCCCCAAATTAATACAATAATAATGCTCTGCACAAAAAATTAATTAAAAAAGATAAAAACCATTTGAGCAGCATTGGAAACCAGCAGGAGAACAGAGAGCCGCAGTTTTAAGACTTACCTGTACTGTCATTGGCAATTAAATTCAGAAATTATGGAATGAGAAAGTGGCAAGCTATAGAAAATGTCGTCGTTTCAAGAAGGAATAACAGAGCTCGTCATTTTCAATGAGTATTTGATTTACGATATTCAATTTCCCAAGAGTACCCATAGAGAAAAAAAAAATCAAACACTGAAAGAATTGTGAGTCCAAATAATAGGAAAGTAAAATTTTAGTACATGGAAGACCACCCCTCTAAAATCCTGCTCTGGTCAAATACCACCTTTTCCAATGTCTCCTCTGATTATGTACCTGCACGTGTGCACTCAAAAGAAAACAACAATAAACAAATGTATAGGTAAATTGATTAAGGTTTTGGAATTCTTCTGGCTTCAATCAAATCTCGTGTTAAACAACATTCATATCATTGAGAAGTCTTTAGTTCAGGAACAAAGAAAACCAGATCAAAGTTACTACATGCTTTTGAAAGCAAAATGATACCACTAATATCATTTAAATTGTCTCAGTAGTCGTCTCCCTCATCACCGTCTTCGCCCTCGTCAGCCTCGGCACCGACCTCCTCATAGTCCTTCTCCAGCGCAGCAAGATCCTCACGGGCTTCAGAAAACTCACCTTCCTCCATGCCCTCGCCCACGTACCAGTGAACAAATGCCCTCTTGGCATACATGAGATCGAACTTGTGGTCAATGCGCGAGAACACTTCAGCCACGCTGGTGGAGTTTGAGATCATGCACACTGCCCTCTGAACCTTGGCAAGATCGCCACCTGGAACAACAGTTGGGGGCTGGTAGTTAATACCGCATTTGAATCCAGTTGGGCACCAGTCGACGAATTGGATAGTGCGCTTGGTCTTGATGGTGGCCACAGCTGCATTGACATCCTTGGGCACCACATCCCCTCTGTACATCAGACAGCAGGCCATGTATTTCCCATGGCGTGGGTCGCACTTAGCCATCATCGATGAAGGCTCGAATGCGCTGTTGGTGATCTCTGCAACTGAAAGCTGCTCGTGATAGGCCTTCTCAGCTGAGATAACAGGAGCATAGGATGAAAGCATGAAATGGATCCTGGGGTATGGCACAAGATTAGTCTGGAACTCTGTTACATCCACATTCAAGGCACCATCGAACCTCAGGGATGCAGTCAGGGATGATATCACCTAGAACACAAAGCAGAAGAAAATTAGTATACATGATCCTTCAATGAGAGAAACAAAAAGTGGTGAGTTACAAAAAGTAAAATATGAACAATACCTGAGAAACCAAGCGGTTAAGGTTGGTATAGGTAGGACGCTCAATGTCAAGGGAGCGCCTGCATATGTCATAAATAGCCTCGTTATCCAGCAGCACAGCAACATCAGTGTGTTCCAAGAGGGAGTGGGTCGACAGGACACTGTTGTAGGGCTCAACAACAGAGGTTGAAACCTGTGGAGAGGGGTAGACAGTGAACCCCAGCTTGGACTTCTTGCCATAGTCCACTGACAGACGTTCCAGTAGAAGGGAGCCAAGACCTGAACCAGTGCCTCCGCCCACAGCATTGAAAACCAGGAACCCTTGGAGGCCAGTGCAGTTGTCAGCAAGCTTTCGGATGCGGTCCAGGCACAGATCAACAATCTCTTTCCCAACTGATAAAAACAAAGAAATGTAAGCTGCTTGCCAAAGAAAATTACAGATCACAAATCACAACAAAAGGGGTTAAATATTTACTGGTATAGTGGCCACGAGCAAAGTTATTGGCTGCATCTTCCTTGCCGCTGATGAGCTGTTCAGGGTGGAAGAGTTGGCGGTATGTCCCAGTCCTGACTTCATCAATGACAGTGGGCTCCAAATCTACAAAAACAGCACGAGGAACATGCTTCCCAGCACCAGTCTCACTGAAGAAGGTGTTGAAAGCATCATCACCTCCCCCAATGGTCTTATCACTTGGCATCTGGCCATCAGGCTGTGGAAGACATTAAATTTAACATCATATCAGGATTACAAACCAAATGACATCCATCAAAACTGGATCATCAGACCATGTTCTTAATAGTGATTATAAAATGCACAACAATTCTAATACTTAGAGCTAAAACTACATACACAGTAAAAGATTATAGCTGATTCAAAACTACTAACCTTGAACAATTTTACCAGATGTAAACAAGCATTTCAGAATCCAAAGAGTCCACACAAATTCTCATGTCTCATAAAGCTTTATAAAAATAAAAATTAATGCAAATCCGCGTCTAAAATAAAATAACAAACATAATTTAAACAAAAAGAAAAGCACCAACAGCATGTTGTAATTCAATATAAATTACTAGATCTAATACATTGCCTATACATGCAACATATTTAAACAGAACCTAACAGATCTAGTCAAAATAAAAGGGAACAAGCAATGCTTATGATTGTCTATCATATAAACCAAGAGAAATTGCAGATCCGGTCCACAAATTACAAATAATCGAACAGGATCAAGTAAAATTAGCCATTCATTTCGTAAATCCACACCAAAGAGCCATAGAGAAGCCTAGAAACCCTGGATCCAGCGTAAATTGAAGAAAATGAAGCAAATCTAGCCAGAATGAGGCAAATTGAAGAAAGATAAGGTCCAAGATCTAGCAGAATCCCAAATAAATCGTACAAGAAATGAGAGAAAAAGAAGAGATACGTACATGGATTCCATGCTCTAGACAGTAAAGCTCCCAGCAAGCATTGCCGACCTGAATACCAGCCTGACCGATGTGAATGGAGATGCACTCTCTCATTTTCGCTAAGAGAAAGAAAACCCTAGAAAGCTAAGAAGAGGAGGTGAAAATGGAAGTAACAGAGAGACTGAGAAAAAGAGAACGGGCGTTTATTAAGACGCCAAAGGTGGAAGACAAGGCAATGTGGGTCTGGTTTTCCGCTGTGTTGGGGTTTTTATAATTGGGGACGAGGGGGATTGGAGCGGGAAGGGGATTTTAACCGCGGTTAGTTTACACGGGGAGGTGAATGCTTTTTTACCTGCTGGTTTTTCTTTTTTTTTTTTTTTTTTGACGAAATTTACCTGCTGGTATTGGCTGTTGTTGCAGTTGCACAGCCTTTTTTTTCCTTTAACTGCTCCAGAATTAACCGCGTCGCTTGTTTCACGGGAACGGTTCGCTTTTTTATAATTTCAAATTTTGAATGAGTTTGTGAGATGAAGACGATGGCGTTTTACCTCTGCATACTGCACGTGCTGCCATGTGCTTCGAAAATAAAAGGGAAAAAGCGAAAAGTAAAAAATTAGCCGGACACTCTAATCTAATGTGTTAATTTTTGGGGAGCCTACTGTGCAACAAAAAGAGAGGAGATTATCTATCTATGTAGAGCACTTCCATCAGTTAGCCCCTTGTCATGGCAAGGGGAGCCCTAGGGCAGCTACTATTCATGTAAATAGTGACTGCCCTACTCCCCCTTAGCAAAATGTGTTTCCAGCAGTTTAGGCTTGCCATGGCAAATACTATTCATTTTTTTGTTTTTTTTCACAACTTTGTTTACTTAAACAATTAATTTGGATAATATTTTCGGATAAGATTTTTGGGTTCCTACATATGAAAAATCATTTTCTCAAGATTTTTAGCGGAGGTGCAATATTGACTAAGTATGAAAATTGGTTTTTCGGAATAATCATTTTCTCAAGATAATTTTTTGCGGCTTTTATTCCTTGCACATCAAATAAGAAAACTTGATTTTATGGGATTTTAATATGAAGTATATATTCACTTAATGAGCCATCATTTTTAGCCTAAATCGTATTTTGCACTAAAACCGATTTTTCATATTTTGATTTGGTGGGAATTTGATTTTCTAGTATTTTTATTTGAATCCAAATGGGGGGTACTTCCTTATTTACATTGTAAACTTAAGTAAATGGAGTAATATAAAAATAAATAAAAGTAAAAGGACAAAGAAATTTACTTAAATGTTGAAAATGGAAATAAGGTATAGAGAGGAAAAAAAAAAGTAATTTTTTTCAATTTTTTTTTTACAAAAATATTGGCTGCTGGTGTCAAAAGTGAAGAGTATTGATTGGTATTTATAGAAAAAAAATTCAGTATTTTTTGGGTATTTTTTACATTTTTTTCAATTTTTTACATTTTTTTATTGGGCAAAGGGAGCACTGTAGCGTGTTGACGTCAGATTGCCCTCGGGCTGGCGCTCGGGCCAGCCTCCCCCTCGGGCCAGCCCAGGTAGCTGGGCCCCACTCCTTGCCCTGGCAGATCTTTGTTGCTGGAAACCCCATTTTGAGTTTGCCCCCCCCAACCCTCCCCTTGGGCCCTTTGCTGGAAATGCTCGTATATAAAGCAAAATGCGGATAATAGTAAAATATTTAAAATATCAAAAAATGTTCTTAGTTAATTTAAATTTTAAGAATTGAAATTATTAATTAAATGAGGATAATATAGTAAATTTACATTTTTATCATATTAAAAAATTAAAATTAAAAACAAAATCAAATAATATGTCATACTATTATGGAACATAACTATCCATATTATCTTTTCTTAATTCTAAAAATAAAATAAAAAATAAAACCAATTGGCACATGGATGAAAATGTACCAAGGGGCTAGTACATACAAAAGTAGGTTTTATATCCCCGACATTAGCCAAACCTAGAGGTGTACAAAATTCAATCCAATTCGTCCAAATTGACTAATCCAATTCAATTTAATTCAATTTCAATC